GTAGGAGAAGGAGCTCCGAACTGTGTAACAATTCTACTGTGTCTTTACTTTGTTTATGCTTTCAATTTCGTTATTTATGCGTTGATCAAATTGATTTAATTAAACAACGAAATTGTCTCGTAACATAAAATCAAGTAGAATTCTTAGTGTTAAATTGATATCAAGATACATGGGTATTTTCATTTGGTATCAGAGCCACCAGACTTAAGTTATTAGTCTGCCGATCTGGCTACTCCGTGCCACTTGATCTCAATTCTTCAGCGGCTATTATTATTATTTCTGATTTTGTTAAATTGTTCTATCTCACGGGTTATTGAGTGTTATAGAATGGAGCATACTAAAGCTCTTCCCCAGCTAGTCGGTGACAACTATGCATATTGGAAGTGCGCACACGTACTCATCTCTAAGCACAAGGTGAAGCAGTATGGTGTATCATTGTAACAGGCTGGGATCATCCAACCACAGCCAGTTCCAGTGAGGATGAAACTCGAGTGATGAAACCTGAAAATGAATGGACCCAAGCTGAGAAAACGAGTGCTGGACACAACGATAAGGCACTAGATATTATTTATGGGCTAATTCATGAAAGTCAATTTCCTATTGTTGCAGACCATGATTCAGCTAAAGGCGCATGCGAAGCACTAGAGGCTACCTATGAAGGCACATCGTCGGTAAAACAATCAAAACTGCAACTGGTACAGTCAGATTTCGAGGAGCTCCGAATGAATGAAGATGAAACTATCGTGACCTTTCACACTCGTGTGCAAGATTTAGCAAATCGAGCTATGGTCCTCGGAGAACCGTTCACTCAAGAAAAGTTGGTGAAAAAAATTCTACGATCACTACCACCTCGGTTCCAGATGAAAGTTACAGCGATCCAGGAACATGACAACTGGGAGAAAAAAACCGTAACACAACTAATGGGGAATCTAAGAACCTATGATATGGAAATCTTAACAGATCACACGAAAAAACAAAAAACAGTAGCATTTACCGCTGAAGAAAATAATTGTACACCTGATTTAGATGAAAAAGGTGATAATCCAGTTGTATTTCTGACTAAACAGTTTTCTAAACTTTTGAAACAGGTGTCAAAAGGTTCATGCAACAAGAATATGCAAAAGGGAGCGTATCATCTAAAATAAGTTCTAAATCAGGATCATCAACCTTCAAGCCTTTTGGTTCACGTCCAGGACAGTCTAAAGAGAAGCCAAACAGTAAAGGAATCGAATCCTATGAATGTGAGGGCTTCGGATATGTTCAAGCAGAGTGCCCCACCTACCTTCGACGCAAGAAGTCTATGTCAGCAGTTACTTGGAGTGATGATGACTCACACGGTGAAAAAGGAGGATCTGATCCAGACGAAATTTCTGGTAATTTCGTTGCTTTTACTGCACATACGACTACTGGACCGTGTCACGAAGATGTTGCTGACTCGGAGGGAGGCGAGTATAATTCTGCAGAAGATTTAGAGTCAAGTGAATCATCTTTTGAAATTGAGTTTAATAAATTGTATCCCAAATGGGCAGCACTAAGGAAAGAAAATCGTAGATTAACTAGTGAAATGGGGATTGTAACAACTGCAAAGAAAGTGTATTAAACTCAAATAGCCGATAGGGATCTGCTTCTTAAAGAGGCATTGGCCCGAGAAGAAAAACTGAAACAAGAGGTACAGACTCTGAAGCAGGAGCTGAACACCTACAAACGCCAAATCCAAATGATGGATACCACGTATACACTTGACGAGATCCTTGAGTCTGGAAGAAAGACTTCTACAAAGTCTGGTCTAGGTTTCACAGGAAACAGCTCAAAGGATAAAACAGTGTTTGTCAAAGCGTCAGGCCCTGGTCAAGGAGATATTCCAGAATCTAGCACAATGACACATCACGTTGGCACAGTAAGATTACTCAAGCCATATTATAAATCCTATAACCCGGTATGTCATTATTGCAGGTTACGGGGTCATACCAGACCTGAATGCTATTACTTCTACAAGGATCAAAGAATCGAGAAGTTCAAACACAAGAACATTCAACCCTTTACAAGACAAATCTGGGTTAAAAAGACAGATTATATCTCATTCGTCTCTTTCCACTCTAAAAGTACAGGTCGAGAAGAAAAATAGTACTTCGATAGTGGGTGTTCACGTCACATGACAGGAAATGCTAAATTTCTGAGTAACGTAAACACAAGCAAATGTGAAGTTACCTTTGGTGACGGTATAAAAGGACAAGTCACTGGTATAGGCACGCTAAACGTAGTTGGACTGCCAAAACTAGAGAAAGTTCTACTAGTCAAAGGACTTCATGCAAATCTTATAAGTATAAGTCAACTATGTGACCAGAACTGGAACATGAGCTTCACCAAAAATAACTACAGTGTCCTAGACAAAACAAATCAATGTGTTATGGAAGGTACAAGGTCAACTGATAATTGCTATATTCTCACTAATAATGTTTTGGGTTGCAGGATCAATGTAGATGAAACTGAGCTTTGGCACCAAAAGCTAGGACATCTAAGTTACAGACTTCTTGACAAACTTGTGAAGATTGAAGGTGTTCGTGGATTACCCAAACTAAAAGTCAAACCAACCATATGTGGTGCATGTCAAGCAGGAAAGAAAACCAAATCCTCTCATCCAGCTCAGCACACCATAAACACAAGTCACTGCTTGGAGCTGATCCACATGGATCTCATTGGACCAACTCAAACAGAAAGTGTTAGAGGTAAGAAATACATACTAGTTTGTGTAGATGATTATTCTCATTTTTCTTGGGTTACCTTTCTCAGGGACAAGTTTGAGACCCTTGAAGCTTTCAAATCTCTGGCATTAAAACTCCAAAAAGAAAGACATGAGCCCATCATTCGAATCCGAAGTGATCACGGATGAGAATTCGACAACAATCTGTTCGATACCTTGCAACCAAACAGGAATCACACATGAATACTCAGCACCAAAAACACCTCAACAAAATGGAGTTGTTGAATGGAAGAACCGCACAATTCAAGAAATGGGACGAGTTCTGCTCAATGCCAAAGGACTACCTCAAAAATTTTCGGCAGAAGCTGTGAACACTGCATGTCACATCATCAACAGGGTCTATCTACGTCCAGGCACGAATCAGACTCCGTATACATTATGGAAAGGTAAGAAACCAAACATTAAATATTTTCATGTTTTTGGATCACGTTGTTTTATCTTGAAGGATCGAAACCCTGTCGCAAAGTTTGAACCAAAAAGCGATGAAGGCATCTTCCTCGGCTATTCAACGAACAGTAGGGCATATCGTGTATACAACAAAGTTACCAAAACCATTATGGAGTCCACAAATGTTGTAATTGATGATCAACCGAGTGATATTATCACAATGTCTCAGCCTAGACCAGTGACAGAACCTGACACAAGTTGTCCTGAACCTAGTCTAGAGGCTATTATGCCATCTCCCACGTCAACTCAACCTGAGCAAGAAACTGAGTCTGAGTCTGAATCTGACACTGATCACGGTAACATTGATATCCCTACTCGCATCCAGAAAGCTCATCCAATACAAAATGTAATTGGAGACCTTAGTTCCGGCGTAAAAACCAGAGGTAAACCGAAACGTGATTACCTTCAATTAGCAGGATATTCTTGTTATACTTCGCAGATCGAACCGAAGAATATCAAAGAAGCTCTAACAGACGAACACTGGATCAAGGCCATGCGAGAAGAACTGGGGCTGTTCGAACGAAATAAGGTATGGTCTTTAATTCCTAAACCTGACAATGTTAATGGTTTAGGTACCAAGTGGATCTTTCGCAACAAAACCGATACAGCTGGTAACATCGCTAGAAATAAAGCGCGGCTTGTGGCCCAAGGCTACTCCCAAATCGAAGGAATCGACTACGATGAAACATTTGCCCCTGTTGCACGGCTAGAGTCAATACGACTCCTTCTATCGATTGCCTGTGCCCTAAAATTCAAGCTGTTTCAGATGGACGTTAAAACAGCCTTCTTAAACGGATATCTCTCGGAAGATATATACGTTGCTCAGCCTAAATGGTTTGAAGATCCACATCATCCAGATTATGTCTACAAATTACAAAAAGCTCTCTATGGCTTAAAACAGGCCCCAAGAGCCTGGTATGAGAGACTTACTCAATACCTTCTTCAGAACAGCTACAAAAGAGGAGGATCAGACAAAACATTATTTATAAAACGATCAGGTAAACACATAACAATTGCTCAAGTGTATGTAGATGATATCATTTTTGGATCCACACAACCAAGAGAGACAGACCAGCTAGTCAAGGTAATGCAACAGGAGTTTGAAATGAGCATGATAGGCGAACTCACTTATTTTCTTGGATTACAAGTAAGTCAAACTAAAGAAGGGATTTTTATTTCACAAGAAAAATACGCGAAAAATCTTCTATCAAAATTTGGGCTTGAATCTGCAAAAGATGCTCGTACTCCTATCTCCACGACTACTAAATTGTTCAAAGATGAAAAAGGAACATTTGTAGACTCTACTATGTACAGAAGTATGATAGGCAGTCTACTATACTTAACAGCCAGTTGTCCAGATATTATGGTTAGTGTTGGGATGTGTGTACGCTATCAAGCCGATCCAAAAGAGTCACACTTAAAGGCGGTAAAGCGTATTATAAAATACGTTAAAGGTACGATCAATTATGGTATTTGGTACTCGAACGATACTAATCTGAATCTTGCAGGATACAGTGATGCTGACTGGGCAGGTAATGCTGACGATAGAAAAAGTACATCGGGCGGATGTTTCTTTATCGGAAAAAATTTAGTCGCCTGGCTAAGTAAAAAGCAGAACTCGATTTCACTCAACACAGCTGTAGTTGAGTATATAGCAGCGGGTAGTTGTTGTACACAATTACTCTGGATGCGTCAGATGTTAATAGACTATGGTATAGAACAACAGAGTATGGCATTGTTCTGTGACAACACCAGCGCGATCAACATCTCTAAAAATCCAGTTCAACACTCCAGGACGAAACACATAGTTATTCGACACCACTTTATTCGTGAACTAGTTGAAGAGAAAGAAATTATTTTGGAATATACTTCAACAGATAAAAATCTTGCAGACCTATTCACCAAGCCGTTAGACAAATCGAGATTTGAACTGCTTAGAGCTGCCCTTGGGGTTTGCAATCCCACAGCGTAATCTTTCCCACCAGGTACAACAAATAATCTCTAATTAATTTTTTTTTGCTAACATGGTTATTTATTTGTTGCAGGAAAAACAAAATTCTAAACCTCTTTTTAAATATTCTCGTTTTTTTTTTCCATTCTAATTATGCCAAGCATCATTAAGAATTCTATACCTGCATGCTTCCTTTCGGCTTACCTACCTTATATATCTATATATTAATCTACACCTCTACAAAATTAAATGTGTCATGAAATAATAATTCCAAACCGCTTCCACCACTCTCTCCTAGTATGACTCTACTACTACCCCTACAAACTAGTCACATCACTCATCCCATCCATCACAGCTTTTGAGAAACCCATTAATTGAATGTCTCCTTGCCTTTCTTAGTCTTACACGCCAAACACACACTCTTCCTCTTCATCTTCATCTTTACCTCGCCAAATCACCAAACCGTCAACAATGGAAGAACACAACCCTTTCGCTATTTTCACAACTAAATCCAAAAGATTGGAGCTATTCCGCCACATCATCAACGCTGAGTCTCCTCTTACATCTGATGATACGAATAGAGTTCTCCCCACAATCAAACACCATGCAAGCTTTCTTGAAGGACTCTCGGACAAGGAAATCGGACAGATCCAAGCTCTAGCTCGGTTCATATCAGTGGAGCCGTGGACTTTTCCAGTCGAATCAACTGATCTACCTCCGCCACAATCTGAGTTCGTGCATGCCTCATCCCCGGAAACTATGGTAGTATCCTCACCTTTAGATGAAACTATTTCTGCATCTAGAAAATTAAACTTCAACATCTCTTTGCCAAATCAGTTTGTGTCCATCTCAAGTGGTTTGTGTGCGCCTTCCTTTCCTTTACAACGTGATCCGTATGACTCTTCTTCACAAAAATTACCTGAAAATCTTGTGCCATTATATGATTTAGTACATGCTGTGTCATCTCCCTTCACCATTCGAAATATTAACCAATATGTGTCTCCCATGACTTGTGTTGCATTCTCTATTCCCATAACCATACCAGTCTCAAAATCCACAGAGGTTCCCATTCCTGTGCCCACCTCTCATGACTCTGTCTCTGTGCCCGTGAGCAAATCTTCCCGAAAAGGGAAAGAAAAAATTACTATTTCAGGTACAGTCGAGAAAAGAAAAATTGGAGCATTGGAGGATGTTGTCTGTTTGTCTGACTCCAAGCACTCAAAAAGAGGGCCCACATTACCACCTAGAATGACAAGGTCTAGATCAGTTTCAGGCCTAGTACCAAGTCCAGCCCCTGCACCAGCAGCTGTTACTGTCCCTTCTGGCTCAAAGATGAAGCAATCCAAGAAGAAATACCACCCTATTTTGCTGTCTCCGGCTTTGATGGCTGAATGTTCATGCTACTCGAGATTTTATTCTGGAGAAATCCATCGATGTGGAAGAATTAACAAAAAAATGCAACATTGTGCCTATCTTGCAAGATCAATGCATGCTTGCCTCACTAGTTCATACTGGACCATATTCCACATGGATCACTGCCGAGTTTTACACGAATTTGTCTTTGGATACGTTTTCGGAGGGGTCACCTTGGTTTCAACAAGTGTTCATCCGGGATAAATGGTACCCCTTAAGTCCGGCAGTGATCAATTCCTACTTGGGTACTCCAAATTGTCAAGCTGCTCCTGACCCGAGTCCTAATCTCCTAGCCGCTGCTTTAACTCACAACAAAGTGGTCACTTGGCCAAGTACCGGACTCGAAAGCCTAAAGCTCACCACAGTCTACTCTGTTCTTTTACGCATTGCCTCAACAAATTGGATGCCGGCTGTTCGTCATCATCTTGTGTCTGACCAGCTTGCTGCCCTCCTTTACAAGATCAGGAACCGACTCTCTTTCAATCTTGGAGAAATCATCTTTGTTCATCTTTCTCAATTTGTGCGACATAGGGAACCTAAGGTACATCTTCCATTTCTTGGTCTCATTTTCGGGATTCTACAGGAACATGGGTCAATCCCTACAAAGATGAGGTGGTGATTGCTAATGACTCAGTCTATAAATATGATGATCGTTTAACCCATAAGGATCACTATGATGATAGAGCTACGCTCATGATCACTCCCATCGCACCAACTGCCACGCCCTCTGCGTTTGCCCCTGCATCATCCGCTGACACTGCTTCAGCTCCTAATCCCCGTCCTACGACAGTGTTCAAGGAACCTCAGACACTTATGGATCGCCGTCAAATTGTCCTCACTCTTCAAGCGTCAATTGCTCAACTTCGCACATCGGTTGCTTCTCAACAAATAACCATTGATGGCTTAGAAAAGTTGTTGGGTGCTCAGTTGGAAGAAATAGCCCGAATAGAGGCCATCTATGCTCGAATTAGATCTACTACTGGCGCTGGCACTGGTTCTATTTCTGAGAGTGATGAATCTGAGTCGGGTACCCCGTCTGCAAGTTAATCCAATCCACTAGTATGATGTTCACCAGTTTGTTTGTCATTTATTTGGCAAAAACAAAGGGGGGGGGGGGGGTATTGGAGAAAGGGGGAGTATGGAAATGTTTGGATGTTTGGAAATGTTTGGTTGGTTTTTGGTATGGATGTTAATAATTTTGGTATGAATTGCTATGAATAACTTAAGTATGACTATCTTGGTATTTTTGGTATGTTGACTGCAATTTTGGTATGAATTGCTATGAATGACTTAAGTATGAATGTCTTGAGATATTTGGTATGTTGACTGCATGGTATGAATTGGTTTTAATTGGAATGCATATGAAGAAAGGAAAGCTCCAACTTAGGGGGAGTAATTCAAATTACAGTATGGAAAGCGTGACATATATGGTATGTTTGATACAACACTAATTCATGCATGATTCACTATTTATTAATTGGATGAAGCATGTGAGTCAACATCAACTAAGGTCCAAAATAAAAACCCACACACAAATAAGCCTTCGTCAGGTCCTAAAAGATTTAAAATTGCATAGTTAATTTTCTTTATATGTTAAGTACGTATACTATGGGATGTTGATAAAATATTCAGTTCTTCTTCCCAAAGTATAATGATACTATTGTTTTACCAAATAAATTTCCAAAGGGGGAGATTGTAAGTGTACAAAATAGTACACATTAGATTGGCTAATTTATTAGTTTATTTTATTAATATGTAATGTTAATTAGTATGAGTTGTAATTAGTATTTTGGACCAAGCTAAAATGTGTGGTGGAGATTTATTGTTAATAAGTTGGACAAAGAGCAAGTCTGAAGATCTCAAGTTAAAGAAGATGTGGTTGAGAAGAATTCAAGCCACATGAGTGCTACAATCAAGGATTGAAGGAATGAGAATTGCGTACAGTATATAAGGAAGGGAAAACAAAAGAGGAAGTTGCCAATTCTGAAATTCTGAATCCATACGCAAGCTTCCTATATTACTGCTTTAATATTGATTATATTATATATGAGATTTAAATCTGTACTTCAAATCAGTACCTGTGACAACTGAAGTGCTACACCAAAGATGGTTATGGCATGCACGGTTCAGTCCAGATTAGGTGTTTAAGAAGAGTTGTAGTGGTAAAGGCTGTGAGCCATTTGTAGTTACCTCTTGTAATACTCCGTGGTGAACATCTAGTGGATTGGGTAGACGTGTTGCCCCACAGACGTAGGAGAAGGAGCTCCGAACTGCGTAACAATTCTACTGTGTCTTTACTTTGTTTATGCTTTCAATTTTGTTATTTATGCGTTGATCAAATTGATTTAATTGAACAACGAAATTGTCTCGTAACATAAAATCAAGTAGAATTCTTAGTGTTAAATTGATTTCAAGATACACGGGCATTTTCAGATCCCACATTGAAAATGTTTGGAAAGATGAGCTCTTGAGCTCCTCAAGAGGAGGAGTTAATTCCTGCAATGGTCCTCCCATTATGTTGATTTTCCTTTATTCCTTTATCTCTTGAAATCTTTCTTGGTTTACAGGCTTCCTGTTATGTTTTCTGTGAGTTTGTGTTTTACCTATGAACTGAAACTTCCATATTCCTTACACATTTTTGTTGTTATGATGTCAATAACACAGACTAGAACAGTTAATAGAAATATGCACTCTTACATGAAGCTGGAGCCGGGGATGGCGTCGAGATAAGCCTGCATTTCGAACCAGATTTGCAGATTTCTTCAATTTGCAGATTTCTTCAAGAAATAGCAACCTGAATGTGAAGGCTATTTTCCGGCGTGTCTACAACCGTCCTCCACCAGACACTCTATTCGACCGGGCTGTACGACATGATGACGCAGAAGTGGAGTGACCCGAAAATGAATAACGTGGCAGTGATGGCATTGGCTAAGAAAATCGGGGCCAGGCTTATCGCCGGTGGGATCGGAGCTGCCGTGGGGAACCCTGCAGACATGCCGATGGCATCGAATCCGGTGGACGTTCTAAAGACAAGGATGATGAAAATGAAGGTGGCGCCGGGGATGGTGTCACCTTACGCAGGCACCTTCATTCATTTGAACATGCAAAACAATGATGTAAAAAAATACAAAAATGTTTTCAGAAAAGGGAAGCTATATTCAATCAATTTTTTTTTTGGTGTTCACCCACTATTATATGTACAAAAATTGTGATCACAAATATATGATCAGGCTAAACTATAAAACTCAGGTAAAGGCAATCAAATCAAAAGGTTTTGCTACTAAGATGTTTCAGCTAAAAAGCTATAACTCTTTGAAAGACCCTACTCAAGTCAATGACAAGGTGCTGTTTGGTAAGTTTTTTGTTCTTATTTTTGCTATTTTTCATTCAACTATTTTTGTATTTGGTATACTAATCATTTGTTTTTTGTTTATACAGATTTAATAGGCAGAGTGGTCGAGATCTATGATCCTGTTGACAAAATCACAGGTGGTAGACCAGCCAAACTACTAGATTTTTAAATGGCTGACAATGAGTAATAAGTTTCATACTAACAAATCTGTTCATATATTTCCAATGATTATATATTTTCTAACACACTTGCTTATGGGAAATACCTTACAATGCACTGTGTGGGACAGTCATGTTGGTGCCATGCTACCATACTATGATGCAGGTCTTAAAGAACCACTAATTTTGGTTCTTCAGCTTTGTCGGGCAAATGTGGTCAATGGTAAGTTATAATCATAGATTATTCTTTTACAGTATTTCTAGGTTTTCCATTGTTCATTAACATCTATCATGCTAATAGGTAAAGTCAGAATCACTAGCTGCTATGATGCTACCCAACTTCATTTCAATGCATCTTACCAGGAATTTGCTGATTTTAGGTCTCAGTAAGTGCCTAAATTTTATGTTCTATCTACACTCTACATTTTCTAAACTATTGTATCAGACATTTATACAACTGTGTATTAATTTTACCTTTAGGTTAACTGCTACAAACAGTCCTTTACGCAGTATCAGTACTGTAACAGTGCTGTCTCAATCAATAGGAATTGATGACTTTATGAGTGGTGCTTTGACTGTAACTGCACTAGCTGATCTATTGAAAAAGAAGCAGGTTAGAGTCTATAGTTCTAAAAACCATGAATACAGTCCAGAAAACTGATTATAGATTAAATAAGATAGATTACATAAGACAGAGTAACCAAGTAATTTCAAAAAAAAAAAAAAATTGCAGAATGGGGAATTCTATGTTCCTGCTGAAATTGTAGCCATTGAAGGTTCTTTTGGATAAATGTACATCTCTTGCATGTCACCATGATGTAACAGAAAGCTTTATGAACAAGCAGGTGATCTGATTTGTACAACGTATGATCAGAAATATAAATAAGGAATGGTCAGGTATCGGGTCAAAGTTATTGTTCTAGATAAAGGTCTAGGAGATGCTCCATTCCTTTTATGGGATAAGAATTAGTTGGTATCCCAACACACAGTTTCTACACAAAGTATAATAAGGTAAAGTTACATTACTTTTAAATTTAACACATACATATAAAGTCTTTTTGTATTTGTCTTTTTTAAAAGTATGCTATTTTCTGTTTGTTAGGTTTCTGGCATTCCAAAAGAATTGGAATCATTAGTTGGTATGAGAATGGTATTTAAGATATCATTAAAAATGGAGTTCATGAAGGGAGCTAATTCAACATACACTGTTATGAGAGTTCTAAGGGATGAAGTCTTAGTCTTAGCATACTGTTCTAAACTGATTGAAGACCAAGATAAGGATTTGGTATAAAAAATGATAGATGAGGATGAGGAAAAAGAGGAGGAATCAGATCACGTTGTTATTGTTACTAAAGTAAAATCAATTTTTAAATTTTTAATCCTATGTTTGACATGTTTTAGACTAAACTTTATTTTATTATACAGGAATGGAGACAATGATGTCAACAGTCCATTAAGTATACAACAGTCTCAAAGGCTAGACAATGAACCTGAAGATTCTAATAGTGTGAAGAGATCGCTAATGGACCAATTCTCCACCTCTAGCAAGAAACGAAAAACTGTGGCTGTTAAACAAGAAAAACTTTAAGATCTGGGAGACTACAGACTATTACTACATTAGTGTTATTTTTTATCTTTTTAAACTGTCACTTGCCCTGCTCAATCTCACTATGTTTGTGCTGAACAATTTCATTTTGTTTGAATCTATGATTAGACACTTTGCCTTTGTTAAGATTTCTTTTTATAAACATTCATAAATATCTGTTTATTAGTTTCTATTATTAGATATATGAAAATGTATGCAGGACAAGAAGGAAACAAACACAAGGAAGCAAACACAATCACACTCAGTTAAAGAAGCAAACACAGTCAAGCAGTGTACCACACAATGGTTTTCAATTATTAAATTATAGCCATCTGCTAAATGTGTATCCAGGCCAAGTACTAAGTCTGTATTTTAAATTAGACTCTATCTAATGTAATAAAACTAATTATTTACACTGTATACAGACTGCTATTTTACTTTAAAACTCACACAGTTTAAATATCATCATTAGCAAACTACCAAAAAGAGTAACCTCTGACAATAGTAAAACAGTAACACTTCACATATAACATTTAATCAATCAAACACACTAATCATGTAATTAAAAAAAAAAACTAAAATTTAAAGTAATAAATTATACATTCACTTTATGGATTTAAGCTTTGTGTTTCAAGTACAAAATTAAAACAAAAACAATACTTTTATCAGAGTATGTATAAGTAGATAGTCCTACACTCTAGACCTTTAAATCAACATTACTTAAATTAAAAATTGACTTGGTCTAGTTAAAATGTAATTAAATTTTATGACAATTGTGAAACATTAACTATGTACAAAACCCGCCTAGAACCCCACCCGACCCACCATGTAGTTATTTATAAAAGTTTTTTTTATAATTTCATGTAAATTTTTACTATTTTTATATCTAAACTACTAAGTTTATTTTTAAAAATTAAAAATTTAATTTTATATTTAAATATTTCTATTATTTTATGTTTTATATAACTAATGAATTTTATTATTTTATTATGTGTATGTAATTTAATTTAATTTTTTTTGAAAAAAATAACAACATTATAAGTGGTGGGTACCCGTAGTGGGCACCCGCACCCGGGGGGGGGGGGGGGGTGGTGAAGGTGAGTTTTAAAAAAGTCCACCCGATGCGGGTTGGGGGTGGGGGTGGGGGTGGGTGGAGAAAATATAAGGTGGGTCGGGTGATGGATGTTGCCTTCCCCGGCCCATTGCCATCCCTAACCAAAACCTTCGTGTTCATGCATTTGGTGTCTTCAACTACTTTTCCTGTGTGATTTCGACAATAGCTGCTCGGTTGTTTGTTTTTCTTGGCAAACTTGCTGTCGTTCTTCACCGCATGTAGGGCAATAATAAGTAAATGAGTGAATTCCATTTTTGGTCCTACTATTATAGGCGTTTTTCCAATTTTAGTCCATCATAATTATTTTTGTTACATTGCGTCTACTATTATTAAAAGTGTTCCAATTTTAGTTTATTTTTAGATTTTCCGTGGACTAAAATTGGAACACTTTTAATAATAGTGGACGTAATGTGACAAAAATAATTATGATGGCCTAAAATTGGAATGACCCTTATAATAGTAGGACCAAAAATGGAATTCACTCTAAGTAAATATTAGTAAGATAAAGGACAAAATTAAAAAAAGGCTAAAGTGTCATCCCGCACCATGAACCATTTCTGATTATTCATGCCACACCATGAACTTTAATAAGTGATATTTAGAGCCATAAACCATAATTTTTTTTTCATCTGGAACTTTTTACAGGTTACCGGTAATAATAATGCTGACGTGAAATTTTTTATTAGTTTTTTTGGTATTTTTCTTCTTTCGCCTTCGTATTATTTTTTTTTTCGTATTTTTTTTCTAAACGTATAGGTCTGCTCTGCTTTTTTCGCTTCTCGTTTCTCTGATAAGGCCTGCTATACAGAGTTTGGTATCGGAGAAACAAGAAGCGAAAAATGCAAAGCAGGCCCTATACTACGTTTAGGAAAAAAGAAAAATAAGCAAAATAATAATAATAATAATAATAATAATAATAATAATAATAATAATAATAATAATAATAATAATAATAATAATAATAATACGAAGGCGAAAGAAGAAAAATACCAAAAAAAAAAAACTAATGAAAAATTCCATGTCAGCAATATTATTACCGGTAACCTGTAGGAAACCTGTAAAAAGCTCTAGACGAAAAAAAAATATTTGGTTTATGGCTCTAAATATCACTTAATAAGCTTAATAAGTTCATGGTGCGGCATGAATAATCAGGTATGATTCATGGTGTGGGATGACACTTTAGCCTTAAAAAAACAATTAGGCAAAGCACAACAAAGAATGCACAAAGTATATATATATATATATATATATATATATATATATATATATATATATATATTGTTAGTTTTACGGCTTAGTGCAGTCGATCGGCGTAAAATATTAGGTCAAAAGAGAGAAAGTATTTAGTAGAGAAAAGAGCGCCAATTACTTTTTATTCCGGAACCGTTACAAGATGACCCCGTGATGGTATTTATACAAGGAATTAGATCCTTATAAGGCAAGAAGAAAGAAAAATTTAACTAAAATTATACTTTAGAATCTACCAAAACCGGCGTATTAATTGCCAAAAACAAGGAAGGAAATTACTTGCTGCTCAAGGAAATAATCACCCGGATATCCGCCCTTAACCGCACACGGTTGGGGACGCTCTAAATGCCCAGTCTGATCGCCCATCAGACCAGCTGAGTACCCGGTCAGGGACACTCTGACTACTGAGTTTGGTTGCCCATTCGGTTACAAATTTTTATTTTTTTTTTTTTGAGTTGGATGATCTAATTTCAGTTTTTTTTTTTTTTTTAGTTGAATGGTTCAATTCCTATTTCACAAGTAGTTGAATAACTTATTTTACCTTCATTCCAATATTTAATTAGCCTAGAATCTGGTGCTAAATGGACAAGACAGTTTATAAACCTAGATGCTAGAATAAATCGTTTAGCAATATTGAATCTCACTCAAGCTGTCTAAATAGGTGTTCCTTTTCCTCCTATACTAGAAATGTTTAAATAACTCAAAACCTGTACTCTGCTCATGACAGGGAAGAGCTGCCAAAGATATTTTTTATGGAGTAACAGAAATAGTAAATGTGTTTATTTCTATGTTTTTGCCATATTTGAAAACAGAGAACGAAGAATAGAAAACTAAAAAGAAAATGGAAAAAGGAGAATTGAAGTAAACGCAACCCCGGGGCCCTTGATTTCCATTTGTTGTACAGGTCTTAAGTTTGCAAGATCCTTGCACAGTTGCATAGTTTCACACTGCTTTTCTTCATTTATTCTGTAAACCTGTATGTTGTGATTCCCATTTTCAATTGAAATGCAATCTTGTTTCCACTATCACATTGCTCAGTTATGTGCACAAGATTGAGGAAATTAAGTAAACAACCATTCTTACAGTAAATATAGACTTTCATAGTAAACTCGAGCATATATTCTCTGCATAAAAAATCTGTATTTCCATTCTTCTATTGTATCCGTATCCGTATTCCTCTCGTTGTAAACTTGAAGATTGCCCGCAGTTGGATTTGAAGCTATGGTAATACTTTTCCTTTCTTTACTTACAGAGAACATCTTCCTTTTTTGAGTTACCAAATCCAAAGATATGAAGCATGGTACATCTCTTTCAACATGCTCTGAATGTTCAGAATCTGGATCATCAACTGCACGGTCTAGAAATACAAGCAATTCTCCATCCACATTCCAAATTCCTATTGGTCTCCAAAATCCAATATTATTATATACGTTTAGAGCAGAATCTATGCGTGCTTGTTTACACCAATAAGTGTTGTTGTCATTTTCAATCATTAACGAAATATCAATGCATCTGTTATTCCCCACAATTGGTGGTGAATATCCAAGTAAAACAATAGTCTCATTCATTATTGAGACTGAAGCAATATTAAAATCAGATGGCAACTCAATCCTCCCAAACACCTCATTATCCATGTCAAACCAAATCAAGTAGTATTCATTACTGAAATACCTTTCAGCCTGCCAATAGTACTTCCCTTTTAAATAAAAATCATTTTTCTTATTCCGAATATTTTGATAAGATGTAACTGAATTAATCTGTCTCAAACTCCAAGAATCACCATGATCTTGACTATAAACCATTGTCATTTGGTGAACAGTAGTTCTCTCATCCAAAGAACAAATTTGTATTAGCATGACAACCTTCCAAGTCATGTTGTTAGAAATCCCAAATCCAAATTCACTAAGTGCAAATAATGCATCGCAAGGTGCTTTATAAGGGACAGTAACCGAGGGTAAGGCTTTAACTTTTCTAATGGAGGGATTCCATATAAAAATATCATAAATAAGATAATCACCATTATTAAGTTTATCATTCTTGGTCAAAATCAAGCATAGCATACCTTTACAACACTTAACCCACTGCTCTCTTGGGGTTCCTGGGATGTCTAAGTATATGCATCCAACCTCATTATACTCGGATTCTTTGTCAAGCAAATAATATTCTCTAAAATCCCAACCAACCTCTAAAAGAACACAATCGGTTTTTGCTTTGCAAATTTCATACTGTTTGTGCATGAAGTGCTGATCACTTTTTATCAAATCATAGAAAAATTTACAAACACACTTAAATCGCATAAGAGACTTTACCGGTAATCTCGATAAAATATCACTCACCAGATCCCTTGACAATTTGCAATTTTCCATTTTCAGGCCGAGATCGAGTTTCAAAGATGGAACAATTCAATGCTTCTAGCAACTAGGGAAAGATGTTCCTTCAATCGTCAATATGCAGTATTGGCGATGACGGAGATCTGAGAATCTATATATATATATATATATATATAAAATCCTCCTAACAAATTTTTTCCCCCAAAACTTTTGTAGTAAAACTTATTTGGTAAGTAAATGTCAATATGAAAAATAAATAAATAAATAAATAAATAAATAATAATAATAATAATAATAATAATAATAATAATAATAATAATAATAATAATGTTATTACCTTAAATAAATAAATTATTATACTTTCCTTAAATAAATAAATTATTATACTTTTCATTTGAATTAGTATTTTCTACCTATAAATACAACGGCTTGTTCAATCAAAAAATCTCAGACTCATCTCTCTGCTTTCTTTTTGTATGAATTTTCTACATTTTTCTAACTATATTCTCACGTACTTCAATATGTTTTGCAGTTTATATCGTCTGGTATGAGTTTGAAGATATTTAAGGAGGCTCTGCTTCAACAAAAGAAAATTGAGGAGGAAGAGCATTTGTAACAAAACCCTATTGGTTTAGTTTTTATGGAAGATTGTAGAGATGCGATCGAGGATGATAAAGACGGTAATTTTGATAATTTTGTAAGATTTTCTGAAACGTAAAGTTAGTATGTTGATTTCGAGATTTGTACATGTCATTCAAGTTTCTATGTTTTTTTAACAAGCAGAGTTCATTTTACAGCATTTTTATAATATATATATATATATATATATATATATATATATATATATATATATCACAACTTGAGTAGAGTGTTTGTTTAACGTATTAAAAACCTCGCTATATTTGATTTTCTCTAAATTTTTGTAAAACATAAAAATAATGATTATTTAAAAAGAAGAAATAAATAACGAATACAATTTCAGATTTTGTGTTATTCCATTCACATATTAGTATAAATAAATAAAAAGTAATAAAATAAGAGAAAATTTCAATTTTGGTCACATGACTATATGGGCTTTGTTAATTGCAGCACCTAACTTTTAAAAGTGTCAATTTAATACCTTGAGTATGTAATTTTTGTCAATTTTAGTCATTCCAGTCAAATTGCCAACTAAATTTGGCCGGAATATTTTAATCCAACATTTAGGAGAAAAAGGATCAAAAGACCATTTTGCCCCTCATATTATAGATTAAATGTTGGATTAAATTTTTCCAGCCAAATTTGACTGGCAATTTGGCCGGAGTGATCAAAATTGACAAAAATTACATACTCAAGGTATTAAATTGACACTTTTGAAAGTTAGGTGTTGAAATTAACAAAGCCCCTATAGTCATGTGACTAAAATTAAAATTTTCTCAATAAAATAAAATACAAAGGAAATATAAATTTTTAACCAAAAATTTAATTAGAGAAACCTCCCAAAAAAAATACACGTTGTACTGAATCCAAATAAAAAAAATATTGACAATGACACAATCATAAGGATCAAAGGGAACAATGGAAGACCTAGAAATCCAGACATCATTGATGTACCGAACGGTGATGAGAGACTCGGAAATAGGAATATCATTATGAATGAAAATGGAGATTTTCTTGACACTCGAATTTAGTTTAAGGAGAAATTTACTCTTGAGTACAAATGTCTCCTCAATGGATTTTGTATGGTCATATAGAGTGTATTTATACACCATGGATGAGTTCAAAATGACACAATATTGAAGTTATAAAATAGTAAGAGATCTCAAAAAAGGTAAAACTTTCAAATTTTCAGTTAATACAAAAAATCTTATAATCGCCGAAAATATATATCTTTAACTTTAGACAAAAAATAAAAAATGAAATCATAAACAATTTTAATAATTGACTATTTCATTTCTATGTTTCTTGAAAAATGATGGGCATGAACTGGCTGACTCATCGTGAAATATAGTAATTAATGAATTACCATTAAAATTAGTATAGTAATGAAAGAATTATCATTTGTATGTTGACATTTTCCCCCGTTTATTACCATTCAAATGTTTGATACCAAAAAATATACTATATAAACACAAAATATGCATATATGGTAAATATGCAATTTATATATATATATGCCCCTAAGTTTTGGGGATAAACTTGTTTAGGAAGATTTTACTTTTAATTATATATAGATATAGATTATTCTCATAAATTTTCTTTCCTTCTTTTGTGTTATTATTATGGTAATGTATTTAAATATTGGAAAAAAAAATAAATGTTATAATTAATGAAATTATTGTGGTAATTGCCACAATATTTGGTAATTATAATTAATATAATTAATAAAATTGAGAAATATATGATTTCTTCTGTAGAAATATCTGTGACAATTTCATTAAATTATAATAAATAAAATATGAAATATAATTAAAGAAATGAAATTATAAAATTAACAAAACATGAATATTTATAATTTTTTAAAATATACATACATATACTCTTTAAATTTCTAAATATAATTTTTTAAGTATTAATATATCAATATAAATTATAATTAATGAAATTATATTATAGGACTTTCCTATATACATATTAATAAATATTATGTGTATATACAAAGTATTATACAATCATATAAGAATATGCGTCCGATTAGAATATTTATTTATTCATACAAAATTTAGAATTTACATTTTTTTATTGATTTTTAAGTACAATTCTCTTAATAATTATTCATATTTTTAAATTTCATATATAGATATGAAATACAATTTGGAATAATAAATCAACTTTTTTGAATGCTACTGGCTCTATTACATTGTAGTATCTGTTCATATACTTTCTCAACCTACTGAAACACAAAGAACCAATAACGCCTCCACTAAGGCTCGAACTCACAACCTTCCAAATGGAAGTTCAACCCGGGTACCATTAGACCACATAGTCCTGGTTGGAATAAATCAACTTAATTATATGAATTTATTCTATAAATTTATCTAAATATGTACATGATTAGAGATAATATTAACCATACAAAATTTTAATTTTAATTTTGTATGTTATGAAAATAGATACTTGACTAAATATATAAAATTCCAACTATATTATTATATTGTACATTTTAACATCTTTTTATTTTTTTTTTATTTTAAATTCATAATAACAAAAATAAAATTCCGTGCAATGCATGGATAAAACTCTATATTTAAAAAATACAATTTGATAAATATCATAAATTAATTAGTAAAATATCATTTATATTTATAATAATTAAATAAAAATAAATAATTCAACTATGTGAATCAATAATTTCAAAATGAAATTAATGTACAGTTACAGAATGAAATTAATGTACAGTTAATTCTCTTAATGATTTGACTTTTCTTTATCAATGTTTTTATGAGAGACTAAGTGAGTGTTTGGGTTGCTGGAAATTTTTTTTTAAAAAAAAATACTTACTAATAAAGAATAATTTTAAAATATTTTTTTACCCCTCATAACATGTGTAAATCTTATATTTTTTAAAAATAGAATTTGATAAATATCATAAATTAATTAGTACAATATCCTTTCTGTTTACAAATTATAATAATTAAAAAAAATTAAATATGTGAACCAAT